AACTGCTGTTTGTACTTTCCTAAAGGCTGGACAGTATGAACATGGTGTTCCTGTTTCCTCAAAAGCTCTTCAAACCCACTGTGTTTGTGATATTGAGTAGATTCCTCAAACAAAGCAATTTATATTTACAGAATACTTCCTGGTTTTGTTTTCTGTTTAATTTGTGTGTGTGTGTGTGTGTGTGTATACCAATCTGTAATGGTGCATATTTCTGTCTTTATCTTGCTTCAGTAGAAATTTTATTCAAAATGTATGATAATCTTCAAAAGAGGTGTGACTATTACTTCAGCTTTTCAAGGAAAAACTGAGTATGTAATAAGAAGAGAAGGTGGAGGAGACAGAGAATGAAGCCATTAGAAGCTTTTGAAAATATTTAAATCAAATTATTAACCATACTGCAGTTTCCCCACCCTGGCTGGTGGTCTTTATTATCTTACCTTATACATCTCTTGCTGTATGGAATAGTTAGTGTTATCAGTTTAACAACACCTGGAGATGGTCTCTGGGCATGTTCACAGGAGATTATGTTAACTGAAGCAGGAAGGCCCACCCAATGTGGGTGGTGCCATTCCCTAGGCAAGGAATTTGGTGGTCTGTGAAGGAATGCAGGCTGAACACTAGCATGCATACATTAATTCATTCCTTTCTGCTTTTGACTATGGATATGACGAGTCCAGCTCCCTCAAGTTCCTATCTCTTATTTCCCTGATAAGATGGACTGTACCCTGGAACTGTGAGCAAAGAAAGAAAGAAACCTTTCTCCCTTGGGTTGCTTTTGTCCAGGTATTCTATCAGAGCAGCTGTGTAACAAATGATTCCAAACACAGCTGTTTGAAACAGCAACAGCCTTTCAGATACATCAGGAGAACCTGGGTCAATGGTCCTCTGAGAAGGTCCTAGATGAGGCCATGGTCACCATAGAGTCCCCTGCTTCTGGCATCCAAACACAAGGAGCTGGAAAACCACTTGTAATAGTCACTATGTAGCTGAGGGAGGAGACTCAGGTCCGCCACACGGCCTTTCCTAGGGTTGCTCAGGACATAAACAACAAATTGAGGTTGGGGGAATCCCCTGAATGTTTTTTTTTTCCTTTGGCTGATTGGTTTTGTTTTGTTTCACATAACGTTTCCATTGATGTTCTGAGAATGTCATGTCATGCACCTCATCAAAGTCACTCTGCAGTCCTTGCATGTCCACCTTCACACCCTTGTGACCACCCCCCAAAAAAAAAAATAAAAATAATAAAAATTTTAAATGAAATAGAAAAATAACAAAAATAAGTCCAATTTGTGTTATCCATATACTCACTGGAGCCTGGTCAAACTCTCCGCGGCCTGCCCCTTACCCAGAACTGAGTGAGTCCTCCCTGCTGCAGCCATCAATTACTGAGAGCTACACCTCAGCAACCCCATCATACCTTTTAAGAGTTCTCTTCTATGGCTTCCTGTCTGGGCTGTTACTCTGGGGTATACGAAGAGGGGCAGGGGGAGGCACTGTGGGAGGTAGGGGTTGTCACAGAAGCCTTCCATGTCCCTCCCTCTCAACTATGTGTCTGCAGTGATCAATAGCACAGCAAATGTAGCCTCCTTGCTCTTCACAGTGAGCAGGAACACGGATCAAGGCCTCCACACAGTTTCTGGCAATGGCACAGACTATAAACATGCCCCTGGCTGTAATAGAACCACAGACCCACGCAAGGCTCTTGGAGGCATCCTAGACCATGGACATCTACACCGTCTTTGGTGGTAACACAAGTCATAGACATCAACAGATGCCAGCTGCTGTACAACCACAGACCCAGGCCCTCTAGGCTGCAGTTTTATGACCTGATCCCAGACTTGAGACACCATCACCATTCTGTAGGTCACAAATAATTTTGTCAACGTATGGTAGTGGACTCTTGGGGTGTGAATGAATACTATAATAAAATCAGTGTTGTAAGATATTTTTTTGTTTTCCCTTTCGATATTTTTTTGCCATGAATATATTATGTAATATATTCATGAGATTGGAAACGCTATCAAATGCCAGCAAAGGCATTTCCTTGGCTTGTTGACTCTCCGGTTTCTCAGATATGTGAACAAGTTTCCTTTTCTGGGTCCTCTTTTGCCTTACACAGGCCTATTGCTTCTTCATCCCAGTGCTCTGGCACCACCTAGTGGCAACATCTAAAACTGTGGCCTTCAGCAGGACAGTTTACATGTTAACTTCAGGAATTTTCCTGGTTGACAGCTACCATAAAAGTCTAGATCTCCTGTTTTCCAAGAGGCCTCAGAGATATAAATCCAGCCCTAAAAGGACCTGTTCCTCTGTTTAAGTTGCTTCTCGTTGGATACTTTTGCCATGACACGGAAAAATGTAACTAATACACAAAAATTACCCTCAGGCAAGTACCAGGGTCAGAGGCAGGAGAGTAGATGTATGCGATGACCTGATGTATCAGGGGCCAAACCCATGGGGGAGGGCTCCCAATCAGGAGCTTGAGCATAAACTTGTTTGGCTTTAGCAGGATGTCAATCCATGCCTTTCTGAGCAGACCCAAATCTTGAAACATGTCTGTGCTCCTCTCTCTCATGACAAACTACAGCTCTCTGCCACCTAGTACTGACTGCAAAGAAAAGGTTAGAAAAGCCCTGACTGCTCCACATCTGGACTGGTGTACTCTTGTACCAGTACATCCAGTACATCAAAAAGAAAATACTTTTGGCCATCAGAGAACAGACCTGTTTGGAGTAACTACATTATCAGCTGTCTCTGGTTTGTGCTTTTGCCTAATCAGAACACTGATAAACAAAAATGGCCCTTGAGTCAGTCAACTTGGACATACTAAAAGAAATTGCATAGAAATTTTATTTCCCGTTAAATGACTCAAAAAAAGGTGCTGGGAATGACAGCACATGCTTATTTCCAAAACCCAGAAAGTAGAGGCAAGAGGATTAGAAGCCTGGATTACATGAGGCCCTATCTCAACCCTAAAAACCATTTTGTATCAGGGGACACAAAAGACAAAATTAAAGTATTATCACAGTGGTTCTCAATCTATGGATCATGGCCCCCTAGGAGGGGTCAAATGACCCTTTCATGGGGTTCACCTGAGACCATCAGAAAACACAGTAGCAAGATTAAAGTTATGAAGTAGCAGCAAAACTAATTTTATGTTTGGGGGGTCACCACAGCATGAGGAATTGCATTAAGGGGTTGCAGCATTAGGAAGGTTGAGAACCTTCAAATTGTCACAGTATCCTAAAAATTTTAAGATTCCCTAGAAACCTCAACAGAAGACCCACTAAAAATTCTGGGGACTTCCTAAGGTGAGCTCATCTCTCTACCAAACCGAGAACCACAAAGTTAGCCCCACGCGCTCACGCAGCCACGTCTTGAAGTATAAACTATTCGTACCTCAGAACATGACTCTACTTGGTGAAGGGATCTCAGTAGTAAAGAAGGTAAAATGAGATGCCAAAAATAAGGCCATAACCAGTATCACTAGTCTCCTCAGACCTGTATAAAGGAAAGGCCATATGTATACAGGAAGAAAGCCATTCTAGGATGAAGACCCTACCACCCCTTGATCATAGATGTCCAGCTTCCAGATTATAAAAATATAATTATTTTGGCTTAAACCACTTAGTCTGTGGTATCTGAAACATTAACAATAAACAATGTGGAAAATTTCAGAGAAAATATGATCTTGTTAGGGATTCCCTGGTCGAATATAACAAACCAATGAAGTACAGAATAAATAGTATAAACATAAAATAAGGAAGGAGGGGACAAAAAGAAAGGAAGGAGGGAAGGAAGGAGAGAGGGAGGGAGGGAAGAGGAAGGGAGGGAGGGAGGGAGGGAGGGAGGGAGGGAGGGAGGGAGGGAGGGAGGGGAAAAAGGAAAAATCAATCAAAGACATAATGTATTGACATATTTTATATTTGGTATTTGTAAGTCTTTAAAAAAGTTTTTCAGGCCATTTTTTCCTTTAAAAAAAAAAAGCAACCAACAGCAATACTCTGTACAAGTATAACAGACATTAGAAATGTGCATCATTCCAAAATAGTTACAAGAAAAGTACAGTTTAGAGTCCACATCAACACTTCTAGTCTGTGCCCCAGGGAGAAAAAGCTACAGTTGTTAAACACACAGTTGCTATGCAGCAATCTGAAAAATGCAGAATTCCAACTTTGTTTTGAGGTGAATCAACTTCAGTCACCAGGCTTGTTTAGCTCAACAAGCACAATCAGGCATTGCAAAAACAAAAACAAAAACAAAAGAAATAAAACAAAAACTGGGCTTCTCCATCCCAGAAAACAATTATGAATGAACCAGCTGCATAGTTGACCCTTCCCCCACCTCCTCCCCACCCCCACTCCCCAAAGCCTCCAACTTCACAAAGCACAAAGCCAGCAGGTCCATTGTGCCAAAGTCTGGCTGGAGATCACAAAGTGGCCTCAGAGAACAGACACTAAATGTCCCACCGGTGCCAATCGTTGCTAGATTCAGCTCTGGTGGAAAAGCCTTTCTCCTTAGAAGACATCAGTCAATGGCCCAAGTCCTCCAAAGCAGTTGGCCACCAGTCTGTAGCCCTTTCACTGACAGCAAGTCCCACACTGGCTGCTTTTCCGGGTGCTGTCATCGTATCTGAGCAGGGAGCTCCATCGTTCCAATGTCACCAGACTCCTCACTTTTGTTCACAGTTGCACTGAGGGCTGGGGCAAACGGTGAGAAGGACCTCCCCCACGCCTCTGCCCAACCCTAGCCTCTGTCATTAATCTTCCTTCTCCAATGGCTGTGCTATGCAAACTCCACCACACAGTCCACCTCCAGATGTAGAAATGGTGTGGTAAGCTTCTTGTGACCTGCCCATTTGGGACGCCAGACCTCTGTCACTAGCCTTCCTCCTGGGACTGGGAATGGCTTGCTGAGATTGATGCCTAAAGACTTTCCAGACCCATACAGGCAGAAGTGGAGAAGGTTTCTGTGTTTTGTAATTTTATACAGTGTGTTTATGATTATGTTGCTTTGATTTTTTTTTTTTTTGAGGGACTCTAATCTTCTACAGGACTATTTTAGGAGCAAGTCCTTTCCTCATACTTTCCATGGTAGTCGAGGCAGGGCATAGGTGCTGCATGGAATGGATCCCTCACCACCCACTACAATGGCTCCGAACAAACTGAGGAGGTGTATGCACAGAACTACTGCCAGTACAGGCCTGTCTGTATAGCACCCCAAAGTCAGCACATCCTAGTGGGCAGACCAGACAGAGAATTTGGAAATAATGAGCCCACGTTCAGCTCCACTCCATACCTGGAGACAGCATGGCTTCCCTGATTCACGACTGCAGCGTCAAGTTCCCCAGTGAAGTTGAGTCAAGGGGCCCAACCTACCCTGGCCAGCCCATTCTCTGTAGGGCTGGACACTAAATGAACATCAAAATGCAAAGGATTTAGCAAAAAAGTGCAGTTTCCATGTGAGAAGTAAAATTCTCCCCCAAAGCATGACAGTGTCATGATCTCTTCTTTCAATCCTTTCAGTACCACAAAGGAAAATGGGGTACAAAACACAGCACTACAGGGCTGAATTACAGCAGGGACAGCACTACAGGGCTGAGTCACAGCAGGGACAGCACTACAGGGCTGAGTCACAGCAGGGACAGCACTACAGGGCTGAGTCACAGCAGGGCTTTCAGTACATCAAGCTTCACCCTCTCTAACCCTACAAAATACTCATGATCAGGTCCAGTCAGCCATCAAAGTGCTGGTGACGCGAGGAACAGAGTGCAGAACATCAGAAGACAGGTTACCCCAGGGCCCACAGTCCTCACAGAAGACCCCGAACTCATCTCCAACACGATACCATAGTCCCAAACATACAGCAGGATGTGTTACTGTGGAAACAGCCACAGGACTCCAGCGGCTTGGCGATTCCTTCATAAGACCTTATATATACTTCATTGCCTACTAGAAAATAAACTTGAAACTTCTTCAAATATAACCTGAGCCACAAGATAAAATAAAAGACACAAATCTTGTCATGTTAATGCCTTGAGAAGTTTACAGATTATGTACCAATAAAATAAAACCACATAAATTCTGAAATTCTTGGTGAATACACACCTGAAGCCAAAAAAAAAACCCTACATTTTCTTTAAAAATTCAAAGTAATTACAGCAGCAGTGTAGTGAAAAGAGGTTTTAAAAATAATAATTACATCTTTGATACAAATCAAACTTTGTACACCTCTATTCATAGGAATGACTGGTGTAAGAGTTTAGTATTTATATATACAGTAGATATTGATGTGTGTCACTGCAGATAGACTAAAGCCAGTGGACTTCGGGGGGAAAGGGGGTTAATCTGAGTTCACACTGAAATGTTCACAGATCACCACGCTATAAAACATACACACATACACACACACACACACACACACACACACACACACAAACACACATAAAATGACAACCTGAGTAAAACATTACTAAGAACCCAGAGCATCATGAACCACTACGTCACATATTGCACCTTTAAATAATCCTTCTTACCAAAAACAGAAATGAGAGAATGGAGGAGACGGGATGAGAAGGGGTGCACACCATGGTATGTTGATTCCTCTGTTCCTCCCCAACCCCACCACAGAGAGTCTCATGGTGATAGTTTAAATTTCTATTCTCACCCAACCAATGGGATGAAAATCTCACCAACAGAAGTCTTTGGTGAAAACTGAGAAGGGATAAGAAAGAAAGGAAAAAGGACCGTGGAGCACAAATGTGTGTCAAGGGTGGGCCGCAGAGAAGCCTCCTCTAATTGAATGGGAACAGGAATGTGACTGAGGAGGCAAACCTCTGATACTAAGCTACTGCTTAAATATTCTGTATATTCCAATTCTGAGATTCAATATAAAAATAGAGATATCTACTGAGTTTTGCCTGTGGAAGCATAATTCAGAAAAGGCACATGTTCAAATAGAAACCCACACAGAAGAGGCGCCATGTGCCCCTCCATGCATGAGAAACACCCACAGTCATGCATTTCCATCGGCTAGATTCCAAGATACAGTAGGTAAAAATAGACCTCTGATACTTAAAATATATTCAACCCAACATAATCCTGGCTTTAGCATGTGAATCATATAAAAGTCTTAAAAAGAGAGAGAGAGAGGTAGGGGAGGAAGAGAAAGAGGAGAGAGGGGGAGAAAGAGAGGAGAACAAACTTGTTTGAAAAACAAAAACAGCTCACTTCTCCTGGTTTTCCACAATTCTCAAGGAAAAAACAAAAAGCGAACCCATCCCATTGGTAATCAGGAATGCCGCTGATTTACACACCATCCATCCACAGCCCCTAACAGCCCAAACTGCCTATTGGCCACATTTTCCGTGCACAGCCCCATGTCCTCCAAGTAGTTCTAACAGAACAGAACAAAGAACTGAGAAATGAGACATATAAAACATGTCCCCGTCAGGGCGCTCTCCCTCGCTGTGGGTGTGATGGTCTGGTTAGCTTCAGAAAGGCTTTGCTTTGGAACTAGGCGATGTAACCATTAGTCTTTCCAAACACGCTCACTGGCTCGAGGTTTTCATAGATTGTCATCGCGGTTGTGTTCTGATAGATGAGATCAACTTTTGAGTCTTTCTGGGCTCTGATAATATCCAAAACACACTGATTGAGGAAAACATACTGGTCCTGGTAGGAAAGGAAATGAGAGAGAAGAATAAGCCCCAGCCGCAGGAGTAAGAACACAAGATGATTTTTAAACAAATGATCGCCATGACATCATCCCCAAAACCCCATCTGTCCCACAGCAAACATGTCCAAATTAACACATCCATGATCTAAGAGTGTCCTAATGAAATTCAAAACCACATAACACAGCTTTCTTTATCAGTGATGCTTAACCAGAGGAGGCACCCTCACTTTTTCGTATCAAGGAAACATAGGAAACCTGGAAAGGGTGAGATGAAGATGCAGAAAAAATAAAGCATAGATTCGGTGAAAGAGTAAACATTAAGGAATCGTGTGGAGTGAGAGTAAACTGGAAAAAGTCTCTAAAGAGGAAAAGGGTTAAAGGATATCAGGTGGACCTGAGTGGGGACCACTCTTTAGGGAAGCGTGATGACTAATCTTAATTGTCAGCTGGATGAAATTGAGAATCACCTAGGAGACACTCTTCTGGGTGAGTAGGAGGTCATTTCAGGAGAGGGTCACCTGCCGAGGGATGACACATCCCAAACGTGGGGCTAAGGTTTGCAGCAAGTGAGAAGGGAAGGGGGTTGAGCACCAACAGTCATCCCTCTCTTGCCTAACTACAGGCAGAACGTGACCAGTGTCGTCCTGGGGCTGCCACAGTTAGAGACACTGGCACAGCGTGACAGACTGTACCCCAAACCATGAAGCAAAATAAACTTCCGCACAACTGTTTTTTCAAAAAAGTAATTAATACAAGTGTATTAGAATCTGAAAGTCTCTGATTAAATAAAGGAAGCATGTGCTGATGCAGAAAAAAAAAAAAAAGACTAGGTGCCATAAAAGAAAACCTCATAAACAAGCACATCAAATCTTTTCAAACTAGTCCACAGATGTACGCATGCGTATATTCAAAGAGTTCTATAGCGCCACCTGCTGGGCCAGTTCCATCTCTTGCTGCTGTGACCAAACCTGACAAGACAAAAAGGAACTTCTTTTGACTCACTGCAGAAAAGATAAAGCTGAAAAGGGATGGTGGCAGGAGCCTTGGACAGCTGGTCATACTGCATCTACAGAGAGGAAGCAGAGGGCAGACAGGAAGTGGAACCCAGGCATTAAACCTTAAGGCCCACCTGTAGTGATCCACTTCCTCCAGCAAGGCTCTGCTCCTTGAAGGTTCCAAGACCTTTCAAAGCAACGCCACTGTTTGGTGACCAAATGTTTAAACACATCAGCCTGGGGAGGTGCGGGGACCAAGCCACTACATAAGCTAAAGGTAACTAAGGCCTTCCTGTAGGTCCTAGAATCTAGAGAGTAGGGTTAGAGAAATAAAAGGATAAAAATACATTCTGTGCAGTTCTATAGTGTTAATTTTTAATGTATTATTTCTGAAATATGAAAAAGTGATCAGGAGGCTGGAGAAGTGGATCAGCAGTTAAAGCATTTGCCACAGAGCAGCAGGACTAAACAGCAGATCCACAAACCATGGAAATGCTGAGTGGGTGTGGCCTCAGAAGGGGGTGACTTCAGATCAAACCAGGTAGCTAGACTAGCCATGTTTTCAAGCTCTGTGTTTGACTGTGAGAACCAGCATCACTGAATAAAGTGAAAAAGCAACCCCCCCCCTCACACACACACACACACACACACACACACACACACAGACAAACAGACACATGCAGAGATGAGGGAAGAATTCACAGACAGATAATGAGATTTCTGTTCTTCTCACTCTATAAAACTGTAGCAGAAAAATGAAAATCTAACACAGAAGCAACTTTTCACTTCCTCCCACAATCATGCATCTCACCCAAAAGCACACAATGTACCCAGACCTCTAACACACCCTGCTAGACTCAGATACAGCACATAGTCATAAGTTTCTAAATTGGTACAGAGTAACAGCTTGAGACAAGATGAATATTCTGCTCTCATCTTGGTCTGGGAATATCCACCCCTGGAAGCCACTTCCTGACACACTCTGATAAGAACATGCCTCAGATTCAAAGCTTACAAGGGACACTTCAGGAAGGGCAAATCCAACAGCTTTACACACATTACAGTACATACTGAGCACACATTTTCTGCTCAGTCATCCTGAGGAGCTCTGACAACCAGTGTCCTTTAACATCTGTAAGGTTGGGTACGTATAAGTTGCTGCATTTCTGCTTCAGTGGCAATGTACTGTTTCCTACCATTAAAGTTTGATAAGTCTGTTCTGTTAGCTTAAACATGGTCAGATCTTCTCAGAAACGAAGACCAAACTACCTATAAGTTTTTAATAAACAATACATTTATTAACTATAAAACCTAATTTTATAAATTTAAAATCTGGAAACCAAGCCAAGAGTCTTAAAAAGATTAATCTGAAGGCTAGAAAGATGGCTCAGCAGTTACGATCACTGTAGAGGTCTTACAGAGAACCTGGGCGTGATTCCCACTTCTGCATGGTAGCTCACAACTACCTGTAACTCCGTTTCCAGGGGATTCAATGTCTTCTTCTGGCCTCTATGGGCACTGTAGTACATGTCTTTGCATGTACTACAAAGATATACATGCAGGCAAAACACTCACATGCACGAAATAAAAAATAATCTCTTTATTTTAAAGAAGACTGCTTAAAAATCAGATGCAGTAAGATAAGTACTCCTGACACTATCTACATGTGTGATCCTATTGGTACTGGTGCATCAGGTAATTTAATTACAGCTGAAATTCACAGTCAAGAGCAAGAAGGCTGTAGAAGAGTCCAGCATGTGATGCCACGTGACCTGTTACTGACAGATGGGAAGGTGAAGTGTCAGACACAGATTTGGCCTCACCTCTGTTTGCACCATCAGGGGCCTGTGCATCCGAAGATCATAGACAATACCGTACACATCCACAGTGTTCTCATTCTCTATCTGATAGATCAGGCGATCGATCGCAATGAAAGTGCCCGTCCTTCCAACCCCAGCACTAGAAGACAGAAATGAGCACATCACCGTCAGCTGCCTCTCCACAGATCTCCCAGTCCCTCCCCCCGTTGCTACCCACATCTGCACTACCACTCTCTAAGGCAAGCACATTGCTCCTTAACTGCAGCTTCATGCCAGTCGGGGCACTCACTAAACATCTTGCTAACCTTCTTACACTCCATGCCACTCAAAGGGTCCTGTAGCCTAGGACACAAAGCTGCATCTTTTTATGAGGCCTCTGCTCTAATTAATTCTTTTGTCTTTAATGCTAAATTCTTCCTGTTCTATTGTGGGTATGGGCACACCCTCTGTAAATGACCAGATGGCAAATAGCCTCAGGTAAGCACATGGAGCTAATGCAATATATAAGCAATGCAAATGAGTAAGCCAGTGGGCGTGGCTTGGTTCCAGTGAGGTTTTATATTTAAAGCAGACCCTATCTGGCCCATGAGCTATATAGCTTGCCAATCCCTTTCCACAGTCTCATGGCTCAGGAACTAAGGCCATACTCCCCTCTTGAATTTCTAACTGCCTATTGAATTTCCTCTTGGGCATTGCTTTGGTGGAGGGTGCTCATAAATATATACATTTTAAGTTGTCACACATGCACACGCCTCCAACTGCGCATACCTGCAATGCACCAGGATTGGTGACTCAGGGGGAATCTGCTTCATGTAATCCCGGACCAGGTACCGAAAGTTGATGAGCAGGTCGGTGGTGTCAGGAACACCATGGTCAGGCCAGGAGGTGAAATGGAACTGCCGCAGAGGATGACTCTCACTATTCTGAATCTAGAGGCCGACAAAATGGGTTAGAAATCCAGAGAGTCAGGATACCTAACAGTATCACAACAGTGAGTGAAATCAAGCAGGCCTGGAAAACCATACTGCACAAAATGGAAAACAGGCAGCCAGACAGGAGTCGCTCTCCAGAAGTTCCAGTCACAGCACATTTGATTCCCATCACCAAATCCTCATAGTGTTCCCAGGAAAGAAGGACTCCATCTTCCCCACTAAAACTGGACAGCAGAGGCTCCGAGGAAAAGGGAATGAGCACCTGATACTCACGCTATGAGGAGACAACACACCCAGTTCAATTTTGAGTTTAGATCGCTTCTGTTCTCAGCTACCAGCCAGTAACAGCCCCACTTCCACACACCTGGGAACCTCATAAGCTCCACTCTACAGCCCACCTGGAAATGGCACTTCCCTTAAAGCCCCAAATCATTTCCCTAAGTATGCTCAGGAGGTCTACACCTGTTGGCCAAGAACCACTTGTTAAGTCCTCGGCTCTCTAGATAGTATATGGTACTATTACACAACTAGCAAACACCAAACAACTATTTAGAACTATAGTGGTCTAAAAATGGAACACACTACACACACCACAAATACACACACACACGATACACACATATACATATACAAACTCAGTCTGCTACTTTAACGTCTGGCAAGAAGGAGACAGTGGACACTGTTAGAGCAAAACTAGTCAATTACACAGTGTGTATTCTACCTTAGACCAAACATGTACCTATAATTACCAAAACTCTGTCCCCTAGGGCTAGTCCTGTCCCTGCCTGTCCTTGATTCAACTATATTCGTTTGTCTGTGCCTGACCTTACCATATGTCCCCTCAGCAGGGCAATGGGCATCTCCATCACTGAAGCTAATTTTTAATCTTTATTCATTATAAAAGCAACAAATTTACACTATTCAGTGTTTGAGAAATAGGAGAGATGATACTGAGAAACTTCACTGCAGATAACTAACATCGGAAATACTACCATAAGGGCTCTCTGAGAGAAGAAATCAGATGTGAGGAGTAGGGAAGAGAGGAGGAGACACAAAGAAAGAGGGCAAGGAGCAGGGGTCAGGGGAACAGGAGGCAGGGGACAAGGGAACAGGGGGCAGGAAGCAGGGAGGGCAGGGAGCAGAGAGGCAGGGGGCAGGGAATATGAGGTGCAGGAAGCAGAGGGGCATAGAGCAGGGGGCAGGGAGCAGGAGGTCAGGGGACAGGAAGCAGGGGGCAAGGGAGCAGGAAGCAGAAGGGCATAGATCAGGGGGTCAGGGATCAAGGGGGCAGGGAAGCAGGGGGCAGAGAGCATAGGGGAAGGGGGCAGGGAGCAGAGGGGCAGGGGGCAGGGACCAAGGGGCAGGGAAGCAGGGGAGCAGGGAGGCAAAGAGGAAGGAGTGGGGGATGGCTGAGACTAAGGGAGGCAGTCAAAAAAATGGAACTCTATCTGTAATGTTCTCATTCTATAAAGGGGAAATGTATGCATGCATTTCACATAATTACAAACCACTATTTTAGAAAATGCCATGTGGATGCCTATATACAAGCCTAAAATAAAAAAAGGCTTTGGTGGAAATCATGAAATCTCTAGAATCTGCCGAGTCTCATTAATACAAAAGCAGAGATCAATAGCATTTTCTGAATTTCCCCAACTCTGTGCACAAAGGTGAGCTCCAAGCAGAGGCAAGAGGGGATAGACACGTCAGTCAATTTAAATGGGCAAAGTCTGAAGCAATCAACCAGACATAGTTCAAGTGTTCCTCACTGACTGTGACCTTACTTATATAAGTGGTCATGTCAATGTGAGCTAAACATCCCCAAAGGAGGACCTGGAATATTTCTGAGACCAAAATCTTTGAGACCTGGTAACTAGTAAGAATTAGTATTTCATATACTATGCCTCACCTATATCTTCAGGAATCCTTAAGGTTTGTTCTTACAAACTAGATCCCAATCTATCAGTCCCTGTTAAAATGTAGTACCACTAAGTCTACATATAGGCTTTTCTATCATACACAGTTACATAAAGGCTAAGCTAAGTATGGCAACACAAACCTGGAATTCCAGTACTGAGAATGAGACAGAGATTTATGAGTTTAAGGCCAGCCTGGGCTACCTAGCAAGACATTCTCTCAAAACTTTGTCTTCTAGTATGTATCATTGACACTACCTTTTCACATCTTCTCAGAATCCATATGGATTGATCCCAGGAAAATCTGTGCATGCTCAGGATCCCAAAGTAATACAAGCACGTGTGCATCCAACCCGCACACACACACACTCCTGTGCACAGTCATATAGACATATATGACAGTATACCCTACACAGCCCAGGTGCATGGAAGGCTATACTATCCAGGTCTGGGTAAGCACAGTCCATGATGTTCACACAGATGCATTCCTCAGAACACACCCCTGCCAGTCAACAACATGTGATCATACTTTAGATCATTTCTAAACTATTTCTATTACCTAGTGTATTTTAAACAGTTGTTATACTGAACATCTTAGGGAATGATGAACCTAAATGCACATGTTAAATACAAGCACAGTTTTTATTCTGAATATGTTTAATCCAGGTTGGTTGAATTCACAGCTGAATGACACAGCAGGGGTGAAAAGGCTGGCTGCATGTCGGCTCCATGTATGGTATCTAAGAGCTCAAGGGCAACGCAGTATGCACATAGTCGGAGTTTACTTATCCATTCTCCAAAAGCTAGCTATGCATGTGGCTTCCAAACTGCTCATTCACCACAAATAATCCTGACGGTGTGAGCTAAATGTCCTGTGAGCATGTATGAAAATATCAAAGAACATATAATGATACTATGGTAGAAGACACTGGACATATAGCCGAGAGAAATGGAAGCAAAAAGAGAGCTTATGCATCTCTTAAAGGAACTGTTCCTTGTAAATAAATAATCTTGTGAAAATAACCAGCGCTGAGAATTCCTGAACCCCACATCATGTCTTCATGTCAGAGACTCAAACTTGAGCTCACCAGATCAAGAGAGATAACCATTTTAGGCCTTCCATATGAGCTGGAAAATGTTAACCCCATTTGCACGCTCAGTTGATGTTAATGTTGACTCAGGACACTTTCTCTACTTTCAAACGCTCTTTAGAAAAGAAAAATAGAGAGTCGGTCTGCTCCTGTCCTGTGGAGAAACTGAATCCTGAGTCAT